GCGATTGCCAAAAATCCATTTGCGAGAAAGTATTTTTTAGCTCACTTTTAAAACTGTTAACAAAAGATATAAAAACATTTAACTCAAACTCACTTAAGTCAAAGTTATTATTTTTTTTTAATCGGCTCGTCGCTGGTAACAAAAAAGCTAATTCATCTGTCACTGATTTCATTTCGATAAAATTTTTTTGCGTTCAATACTTTCGTCGAGTACCCGGGAATAAATCAACTAAACTATGATTAGCTTGATTCACATAAGTAACCCTAGGACAAGCGGGCGAATTGCTTCAAAGACATCTAAGAGCATTAGTATTGTTGCGATGTTAGATTGTGAACTCGCTTGTATAAATAGCCCGAGCGCTTCTGCTTCTTTTCGTTCGGTATAGCATGTTGACAATGCTTGTAAAATCGGTTTATAACCTTTAAACACGACTAAACAAGCTCGATCGTGTGCAGTCCAACGTGTTACACTTGGACACACTGGAACTATGGTTTCTAGTTCTCCGTAGATTTCGGAGCATTCCTGCAGCAAATGCATGGCTAGTGTGCGGTACTTAAAAAACTTTCATAGGTTAAGTAAAAAAATATCTACCTCTATAATAGTAGGAAAGTCCTTTAAAATATGTTTAAAACATAACGCAAGTTTATGACTTGTACACCCAACCCAAACACACAGTGGCACAGCATCCTCGATGTAGGCTTTTAAACCTCCTTTTATACCAGAATTAACACTTGTTGTGTCCATACAAGCAAAACGAGCAAAAAACTTTGGAATAACATCAAAAACATTTGGAGCTGATAGACTAGAGCCGGTGAGCTTACTTAAAGGAACTAATCCTATAAAATGTTCTTTTACGATGCTGTTGTGTTCAAAAGTGGCATATATAGTTAACTGTTCAATCAACGTAATATCAGCAGTTTCATCCGAAAAAAAAGAAAAAACTACCACCATTTTTAAGTGACTGGAGTAGAGGATTTAAGATGAAATCAAAGATAATATTTATATACTTAGCAATATATTCCGGAGACATGTATGTTGCATTTGCTGGGCTAGACAAAACGTGCGCCTTAACTTCCTTACAACCACACGCAGCAATAAGTTTAATAATGTCGGAAAAATTATGTGCCCAGTTTTTAATGATTAACAAATGCGTGACTCGAAAGAAGGTTTTAGTAACGAAGCGAGAAGTGCTTGTTTTTAATGTTTCTTTTGCAAGGGTATTTTCACGCAGCATTTTCCAAATATTCGAGTCTTGCTTAGACATTTCATCAAAAGATTGTTTATTTTGTAAAGCTATAGTATGCCTATGCGTATTTAAGTGATCGTTAGCACGCTCCGAGGGGTGATCTGCAAATTTGCCAGGGTTTTCAATAAATGCACGACTACTTTTTTTTCCAGGGGCAAACGATATGCAAACTTTACAAAACCAACCTTGTTTTGATGACGAATAAAAAAAATCGGGAAATAACACCTCATACTTTTGTGTTGTTTTGAGTCGTAGGTCTTCTACATTTTTGATTGGTATTTGTGCTGGTTTAACTTTCTTATTTTTTCTTTTTCCAAGAACTGAAGTTAAAAGAATTGTGTTTTCATTGTTTTCGCTTGCTGTTGATGTAGGCTGATGAGGACTTTGGTATACTACTGATGTAGAATGATGAGCACTTTCACTTACTGCTAATGCAGACTGAGGAGGTTTTTGCCTCAATACTGATGTAGACTGATAAGTACATTTATTTACTGCTGATATAGACCGATGAGGACTTTCGCTTACTACTGATGTAGACTGATGATAACTTTGCTTACTACTGATAGACGGATGAGGACTTTCACTTACTATTGATGTAGACTGATGAGGACTTTCACTTACTATTGATGTACATTGTTGACTATAGTTTTGCACACTTGTTTCTTTATGTTTCTCAAATAACTTTACAATAGTTTTTGATTGAATTTTTTTATATTTCTTTTTAAAATAGTATTTTCCATTATTTGAAGGCAATTTGATGCCGCTTTTATTTTATTGACTAGAATCTAAATTACTAATAGAACGTCAAACTCATTCAAGAATATTAAGGTCTTTGAAGCGAAACGTTTTTCAATAGAATTTTTTCAAATAGAATGTTAAAAATTAAAAAGTTTTCGTTGTTAAAAAAGTTTTTGTTGCTTTAGACAAATAGAACGTCAATGCCTTTTGAGTGAATTTTTTGTATTCGAATAGAATTTCTATGGAATAAAAAGTTATTGATAAGAAATTTCACTGCTTCATGGTATTTTAGAATTAAATTCAATAAACAACTAACGCCGGGGAAGATTTGTTGATCGCGCAAGTAAATATTTAGCGATAAATTTAGCTAAAGTGGTAACTTTAGTATGTGCAAATTAATAAAAATTGATTTTTGTATTTGTAAATTTTGTTTTACTAAACTAAACTTCTTTTATTTGTTTATTAAAAATTTTGATTTGTAAATTTAAAAAAAAATTGGTAAAAATTGTAAATCTTGAAAACATTTATAAGCACAAATGATTTGTTAACTTAATGTTAAAATGCTTACACTAAAATGCGTCACAAGCAAATATAGCTTACTTAATAATAACTTTTTTTATCATTTTTTAAAAGTAATTTCGAAATGTAAATTTTAAAAATGTAAAATTTTAAAAGAAATTTCGAAATGACACTATGCTAATTTCTTTGTTACTTTTCCAAGTAAAGATAAACAGCATGTGTTATTTTAAAATTATTTATTGTAAACAAAAAGTTTGAATAAAAAAAGCGAATAAAAAAGCTACGTTTTAAGCAAAAAGAAAACAAGACGTCAGTTAAAAAATAAAGTTTTAACTTTATTTTTGAATGAATGACTTGCAACGCTATTTTTTATTTTATAAAGAAAGTAATTGTTCTCAATGGACTGAATCATTTACTTTGTTTCGTGTACTTTCTTGTTTTCTTCGTTTCGTAGTATTTCTACAAGTCTTGCATAACTCTCTAAATCTAACCTTATTAATAACAATTTGGGAAATTTAAAAAAATTGGGAATTCCGCGTTATACGCGGTGCCATCAGGCTGGCTAACACCCTGTATATATATATATATATATATATATATATATATATATATATATATATATATATATATATATATATATATATATATATATATATATATATATATATATATATATATATATATATATATATATATCTATATATTTATATATATATATATATATATATATATATATATATATATATATATATATATATATATATATATATATATATATATATATATATATATGTATATATATATATATATATATATATATATATATATATATATATATATATATATATATATTTATATATATTACAGGGGCGGATCTAGGGTACGTCTAGTACGTCTTAAGATGTACCCAAAAAAAAATTAAATAAAAAAAAAAAAATTAATTTACGTTTCAATTATAAAAATAACTTTTTTGGTAAAATAAGATTTAATTTTATAGGCACTTGTGAAACAAGAAATACGAACGGTTCTTGTTTAAAGTTCTTGTTAAAAAGATATCTGTCTTTGCCGGAGGTTTAAGCAATTCTTGATAAATAATATTTAATTAAATAAACGAATGGACGTCCCCAATTTTATTTTATTATAAAATAAAAAATTATTTTAAATTTGTATTTAATTTGTTAAAACAATAAATAAATAATATCTTTACTGATAATTATTTTTGGACGTCCCCAAATTGGTACACCCTTATTAAAATATTGTCAAAATCTTTTGTTTTGTGACGATCAGGAGGTAAAACTAATGATAATATCCTATAAATAATAAGATACACCAATAGACGTCCCCAATATTATTTTATTTTATTATTTATCTTTATATTTAATTTAGTTTTCAATATTTAATTTCTAAATACTCGGTTTCTTTTATAAAAAAACACTGCCGGACGTCCCTTCGTTAATACACCCTGAAATACATGCCTTATTCCTAATATTTAAAATGTTGTTTAATGTTAAAAATTCAAGCATATATTTGTGTGTTCAAGTATTAATTTAAAATGTCACTCAATCAAGAAGTTAAAAACATTATGCAACAAAATGATGAAACAAATTTGCTTTGAAAGATATATTACAAAAAAATATTAGTTCTTGTAATAATACGATTCTTGTCGACTCTTACGAAGAAGAAAAAACTCTTAAAAATTTTGAAATCTATCTGCCAAAGAGTTTTAAAGAAAAACATAATGGCAGTTATGTTGTTTTAAGGTAAAGGTATTTGTTCAAATTCCATGATTTTTTTAATAACTTTTTGGTTAGTTGTAATGTTATATTGACTGTAAGCTAGTTGAAAATACTTATAAATTTTTTATATAAGGTCATTAATTATTATATTTTATGTATATCTCAGGTCTCAATCAACAGGAAACTGTCTGTACAGTTACGTTACAGACAGTTTCCTGTTGATTACAGTTATCTCCTTACGTCTTACTGGAAATAACTGTAAAGTTAACGATTTAAGATTACAGACCTCAATTGAGCTATTCTTAAATGCCGAGTTTTATTCTAACCATCCAACTTTTCATTATGCTTTTATTAACAATACTAGCTCTTTTCTTTGCTATGATAACATTCTTCCTTTATCAGTATCACTAAATTCTTTGGATTCTGGAAAAAAAAGTAAAGATTTAGTTCAAGAAGAAGCTATTAACAATTGTAACAATAAAAACTGGTCTTCTTTCCTTTGTATTCTTGCATTATCAAGTGTTTGCAACAAGAAAATAGAATGTTTGTATCCAGATTTTGGTCTACAGAAGTATAAAATTTTGTTCAGCTCAACTATTTTACCTCGTATAACTTCCTTAAACACTATTGAGTCTTTACATCTCCTTTTTTGTTATGAAGGTGTATAAAATGATTTTTCCGCTCCTTTTCAACACAACCATTATACCCCTGTGATAATAAAAGAAAACTTAAAACGAAAAAATTTAAACAAAAGCTGCAAAATGTCGCAGACTAAAATAAAATTTTATTTCGAGACCAAACATCAAGATAATAACTATTCGTTAGACAATTTAAAAAGTAAACCAATGGAAGTCTCTAGTCAACCCCCATTATCATTATCAAATTTTAGTAAAATTACATGTTGCGAATCATTTTCTTTACCTTCCAATAATTATGATATTGGTTATTTGGTTTCTAACTATACTAGTTATTCAAGTATTGCAAAAACCTTGAGTAATTCTGAACTTCAACATTTAGTTAAAGATGTTTTTGTACCTTGTAAAACATTTTCTTTTCCTAAAAATCTTAATGGGCGAAGTTTTCAATATATGTGGATAGAAAAATTTCCATGGCTCACATATTCGAAAATATTCGATGAAGCCTTTTGTTTGCCATGTGTACTTTTTGGGTGTAATTTTCCATCTGAATGTAGTTTAGTCGAAAGATTATTTCGTAAGCCTTTTGATCGCTGGAATGATGCTTCTCGTTACTTTCAGAAACATGCATTTGGCAAAAACAATAATAAGTCTGTCTGCAGAAATAAAGGCTTACATGTAAAAACTGCTGAAGTTATATTTTCATTGTCGTCGATTTGGTCTTCTAAAACAGAATCAATAGATATTACATCTCAAAAAATAGTTCAATCACAGGTTTCTAAAAACCGACAGTTATTACAACCAATTATTGAAACAATTATTCTCTGTGGACGTCTTGGTCTTTCTTTACGAGGCCATAGAGACGATTCAGAGTTTCATCCTAAAAATAGTGAGTCTTTTAGTCATACTGTTGGAAATTTTATTGAATTATTACATTTTCGTATTAAAGCTGGTGATAAAGTTCTTGAAGATCATCTTAAATATCATCATCAAAATGCTTCTTACATATCTAAGACATCACAAAATCAGTTAATAAGGTGTTGTGGAGAAGTTATTACTGACACAATAATAGGAGAAATTAAAAATTCTAAATATTTTTCTATTATTGCTGATGAAGCTTTTGACAGTTCAAACAAAGAACAGCTATCATTAGTTATACGGTTTGTTGATTCAAAGTTTAATATAAGAGAAGAATTTATCAGTTTTTTACATTGCACAAATGGTGTTACTGGTCAAGGATTATTTGATATTTTGTTAAAAAGTATTTCAGATTTTTCTTTAGATATCATGAATTGCAGAGGACAGTCATATGATGGTGCTGGAGCAATGGTTGGTCACACCAAAGGATTGTCCTCTCGTATTTTAATTCTAAATGAAAAAGCTACATTTGTTCATTGCTATAGCCATAGGCTTAATTTAGTTATTTGTGGCTCATGCAATGTGCAATATGTCAAGAATCTTCTGGCATATGTTAAAGAGGTATCATATTTTTTCAATCTTTCACCTACCAGACAACAAAAGTTAGAGAAACACATTGAATGTACTGTTCCAATAGCTGTTAAAAAAAAATTAAAAGATGTTTGCAGAACACGTTGGGTGGAAAAAGTAAATGGTTTAGATACTTTTCAAGAACTTTTTATTCCTTTAGTCTCTTGTCTTGAAGAAATGTCTTTAAATGCCAATAAGAGTTTTAATCATTCAACAGCTTCTAGTGCATCATCCCTTCTGAAACTAATTACAGGTTTTGATTTTATTGTTGTTATGTGCATAACAAGAAATGTGTTTGACTTAACTCTTCCCATAACGCGAATGTTGCAGTCAAAGAGTAATGATATTTATGATGGTTTGAATCTTATTCAGGCGTTAAAAGATGTTGTGATTTCACTTAGAAATATCGTTGATCAACACCATAAAATGTGCAATGAACAGGCTTTAAAAATTGCACAAAGTATTAATGTAGCTGAAGCAAAGCCAAGAACTTCATTTATTTCCAAAAACAGAGATAATACTCCTTCTGAATCTATTTCTGATTATTTTAAGTTAGTTATCACGATTCCTTTATTAGACCATCTAAGTGTTGAACTAGACACAAGGTTTGATGATACTACCTTAAAATGTTATAAAGCACTTGTGCTAGTTCCTACAAAAATGATTTCAGTAGTGCAATGTTCTCATGACACCAGTTGGAAAGACTCCATCATATCTTTCAGTTACTTTTACGCAACAGACTTACCGAATCCGCTTGCTTTGTCTGGTGAGCTTGATTTATGGGAAGCCTTCTGGTTAAATTTTGAAGGAGATGTCCCTTCTAATATTTCCGAGACGTTAAAAGCGATAAATTTTCCTGGTTTTGAAAACATAAAAGTTTGTCTTAAGTTACTTGCTACCTTTCCATTAACTTCATGTGAGTGTGAGCGGACATTTTCTTCACTTCGGCGCCTAAAAAATTATATGCGAAGCACCATGGTTCAGGACCGTCTAAATGGTTTAGCATTAATGAATATTCATTCAGAAATAGTTATAGATATCAATAAAGTCATTGATAAGTTTGCCACTAATAATCGTAGATTAACTTTCAAATAAATATAAAATATATTTAAAAAAAGTTTTTTTTTTAATAAAAAAATGCAAAACACTAAAAAAAAACAGTGCAAAAAAAGTCAGCTTCTTTTGCCAATGGTAAAAAAAACGGCTATTTTCATAGCCACACACTTTTCTAAAACATTATTTGGCATAAAGAAATTATTAACATACATTGAGTTGCATACATGTTAGTTTCAGGTATATCGTTTTTTTTATGCTATGTTGAAATGATTATATTGTAAATGTTTTTATCTTTTGAACTGATTTTTTCAGATTTTATATATTTTGCAAGCATCAATAGAATTAAGATTTTAAAATCTACTTTTGCTATGCAAAATAAAATACTAAGATTGTGGCAATTTCTGTATATATAATTCAACTTTAATTATTATAATATATAGTTATTTCTGTTATTTATATTTGTTACAATATAAACAAATTATATAATTATTTACAATAAAAATATAAAATGTGTAAATATAAATCTAGTTTGTCATAATAAGTTTGTAAATATTATGTAAACATAATTTTACTATAGTAAGGTGCCAAAGCGATATCCTTGCGTATGTTTAGGCCTATATATATATATATATATATATATATATATATATATATATATATATATATATATATATATATATATATATATATATATATATATATATATATATATATTAACAGGGCCGTTACTAGAAGAGGGGGGTGTCTAACCCCTTACCAAAACTTTGTTGAAAAATTAGTCGGCAAATTTGGACTTGTAGTCTGCAAGTTTGGAACTATAGTCGGCATATGTCAGTAAACGAGAATCATACGTCACCTTCTCCCCCCCCCCCTCCTCCTTTTTTTTCTTCGGGACGGCCCTTTAATATATCCCCTCCAACTCCAGAATAGTTGAGCGGGGGAGGGGGAGAATGAAATGTTGCTCGTAAAAAAATCAGATGTACCCAAATAATTTCCTGGATCCGCCCCTGTATTATATATATATATATGTATATATATATATATATATATATATATATATATATATATATATTATATATATATATATATATATATATATATATGTATATATATATTTATATATATTATATATATATATATGTATATATATATATATATATATATATATATATATATATATATATATATATATATATATATATATATATATATATATATATATATATATATATAAAGTATATATATATATAAAATATATATATATATATATATATATATATTATATATATATACATATATATATAAATATATATATAATACATATATATATATATATATATATATATATATATATATATATATATATATATATAATATACTTATATATATATATATATATATATATATATATATATATATATATATATATATATATATATATATATATATATATATATATATATATATATATATATATATATAATATATATATATATATATATATATATATAATATATATTATATATATATATATATATATATATATATATATATATATATATATATATATATATATATATATATATATATATATATATATATATATATCTGTGTGTGTTTGTTAATAAAGAAGATTTTAGTAAGTAAAAATCTTTATAAATGTTTATCCAAAAACTAGGAATATAGCAAAACTATATAAATATGTTTCATTTTTTTACAGTTAAATATGGTGTATCATAAAAAACGAAAACCAATAGACTACCTAGAGGTAAAGTTAATGAGAATGAAATGCGAGCAGCTGTTAATGCAGTTCTTAATGGTAGTACTGTTTATTGTGTATCTAAAGAGAGGGGAATCAATTTAATGACACTTAAGAGATATGTAAGGAAATGTCAATTAAATCCATATACAGTCTGCAAACCTAACTTCATTACCATGCAAATCTTTACCAACGAAGAAGAAACATCTTTATCAGATTATCTTTTAAGGGCCTCAAAACTTCACTATGGATTATCAACCAAAACAACACAAAAACTTGCCTATGAATTTGCAATGACTCTTTCTAAGCGCATTCCTAAATCGTGGAAAAGTTTACAAATTGCTGGGAAACAGTGGCTTCGTGGTTTTATGTTACGTAGGAATGAGTTATCTTTAAGAAATCCAGAAGCTACTATGGCACGAGCAACTGCTTTTAATTGTTATACAGTCGGAGAATTTTTCACCAATCTAAAAGATGTTCGTCTATGACACAAGTTTCAGCCACAAAACATATATAATGTTGATGAGACAGGTCTCACAACTGTTCAAAAACCAGTTAAAGTTATTGCTAAAAAAGGAGATAAACAAGTTGGAAGGATAACTTCAGCAGAAAGAGGGACATTGGTAACAGTTTGTTGTGCAGTCAATGCAATAGGAAACTCAATCCCTCCATTTTTTATTTTTCCAAGAGTTCATTTCAAAGGAAGTATGATAAATGGTGGTCCACCTGGATGTGTTAAGATTGCAAACCCATCTGGTTGGATGAATGTTGCAACGTTTTTAGAGTGGATGAAACATTTTATTCAAAATGTGAAATGTTCACCAGCTAATCCAGTGCTTTTACTTCTTGACAACCACGAGAGCCATGTTTCAATTGTGTGTTTAGATTTAGCTAAAAAAAATGGCATAACTATGCTGTCCTTTCCACCACATTGTAGTCACAAGTTGCAGCCATTAGATCGGTCAGTTTATGGGCCACTGAAACGTTATTACAATGCAGCCTGTGATGATTGGATTGTATCTAATCCAAGACCGATGACCATATATGATATAGCTTCAGTTGTAAGGAAAGCCTATGCACAAGCTTTTACTTTGTCTAACATTTCTGCAGGATTTGCTGTGGCAGGAATTGAACCCTTTAATCCTAACATATTTTCTGATAATGAGTTTTTGTCTTCATATGTAGCAGACCGTCCAGAACCTATTACTGCTAACCCTTTTCCAGGTGTTGTTGATCCAGTTTGTGCCCCAGCTTTTAATCAATCATTGATGTCAAGTCTGTCATCTGGTTTAGCTTGTAGTGTATTGCCTATTCAGCCTATATCTGACCCTGGAAGTCACCTATCCAGTGTTTCTAATAATATCCCTCATCAAGCAAGTCTAGAAAAAATTAGGCCATTTCCAAAAGCTGGATCAAGGAAATCCATTAAAGGACGTAAACGTCAGCGTACTCGAATACTCACAGACACTCCTGTTCGAAATGAGTTAAATAAGCTTCAGGAAATGAAAAAAAAAAGAAAAAACATGAAATGCAAAATAAGATTTTCATGACAAGAAAAAGAAAACTTGATCTTGAAAGTAATGAAAACAAAAACGTTGAGTCTCAGTAAAAAATAACATTTTTTTCATTAATTTTTACTTTTTTTAGAAAGATAAATTTGTAGTAAAATTAATAATAACTTTATTGATTTTTATTATAGACATTGTTTTGATGACTTAAAAATTATTCTTATACAATCATGGTATACATTTGATCATGAATCAAGTATTCATACATAGAATCAAGGGTGCATATAGGTAGGATCAAGGGAGCACACTGGTATGCACCCATGATCCTAATTGAGCATTCTTAGTTTTTATAATTTTAAATCTAATTAAAATATTCTGGTAAAAAAATGATAATTGAATTATAATAAGGTATAAAATTTGCTATTATGTACTGTTATTTTAGAGATTGAAATAAAAACATATATTCAGTAAGTTGGCCTGATAGATTTTTAGGATCATGGGTGCATACTCTCCCCTAAATTAAAAAAGTTATGACCATACAAAATTTACACCCCCTCTTTTTTTTCGTATAGGGGAGGGGGTGTTTTAGTATTTTTTTGTTCCCAGGCCTCCGCCTTCTTAATTTTTTGCGAGGCCTCCCTCACTTGGCATAGGTATAAACATACTTAAGTTTGAAAGTTTGCACAATGTTTGCACAATGTGCAATCCTACGGGCCCTTATGCATTCTTTTGATAAAAAACAGTATGTTCTAGGCATCTTTATAGACCTGTCGAAGGCGTTTGATACTGTAAATCACAATATCTTACTTAAAAAAATGGAAAGCTGTGGGATAAAAAGCATAACCCTTGACTGGTTTAAAATCTAAGTAACAGACAACAATGTGTCTTTTCAGATATTTATAAACACTCAAAACTACTATGAGTTGAGTGCGGTGTCCCCCAAGGTTCCATTCTTGGACCTCTTCTGTTTTTTCTATATATTAATGACCTTACAAAAGATAGTATACTAACTACCCTTCCCTCGCTAAAAATAGATAAGGTAAATATTGAAAGAACAGAAACAACTAAATTTCTTGGGATACTAATTGACGAAAATATATCTTGGAGAGCCCATATAAGTTTAATTAACACCAAAATTTCAAAAAATATTGGCATACTCTACAAAGTTAAACCTATGTTTTTCCAACATAATCTTAAATCGCTTTATTTTTCTTACATCCAAAGTTATCTTACATACGTTAATATTACATGGGCAAGTACACACAAATCCAAATTGAGTACAATTTACATAAGTCAAAAACATGCATCAAGATTAGTTTATAATAAAGATAAACTGACCCATGCTGAGCCCTAACTAAAAACCTTGAATGCACCAAATGTTTACCAAATCAACATCTACCAAAATGTTCTATTTATGCTTAAATACAAACTTGGACAAGTCCCATCGCATTTCTTAGATAACTTTTCTCAAGTAAACTCTAATAGGTATATGACAAGAGCAACAGCAACTTCACACTGCCCAAAAGAACAACAAAGTTATCACGGCTCTCTATTTCCGTACCTATATAACAAAATCAGATCCAAAAATATAGAACTTAAAGTATTAAATAATGCTGCCAACTTGAAAAATAAATTAAAACACCTTATACTTAATACCAACAATTATATCAACATGTATTAAACTTAACATTAAAATTTATATTAAAATATTTATGTGTATCACTGATTGAATACTGTTTAACCACTTATGACTATATGTAAAAATAAAATAG